TTAACAAAAGTAGACTAATTAGAGGTTAATTGGTGGATGGTGACTAGCAGTGAAATCCAGGATGTGCATTTCGTCCTATTTGGGACTCGTCAGCTGAATGTACCTGCACTTCGGTCCAGTCAGTCGACGGGAAAATCTAAAATTCAGTTAAAATAATTATTATGACCCGTGGCACAAGAGGTGGCTCTCGTGGCCCAAGTGGTCTAGTGGACATCGCTTTGGCGTTTGAAACTATGAGTACTGGGCTCGAGCCTCGGTGGGAACATCATCACTCACTGCGGAATGCAGGTACATCCAGATGACGAGTCCCAAATAGGACGAGATGAGCATCCTACATTCCACCGCTAGTCACCATCCACCAATTAACATCTAATTACATGCCCAGACATCGTCGAAGCATCTGCACAAGAAGCCTACATGTTAACCTGAAACCGAGCACTTCGGTCCGATCAATCGACGGGAAAATCTAAAATTCAATTAAAATAAAGAGTAGACTAATTTTGAAAGTCTGAGGTCAGATTTTGATCACAGTTCATACAATTTTGTTTATTATACATGTTGATACCTGTTTCATGACTCATATGATTGGACAAAGTTTTTAAAAACAAGAGATGTTCCTATTATGTATATTAACCTCTGTTATGTTAATTTCGATTAATTTCCCTGAAGAAAGAAGTTCGGACCAGATTGCCGAACCAAACGTTGGAATTAATCATTTCAATTTCTCTGAGATTTTACGAATATACTTCATATATTGGCACTATCTCCTCATCCAATGTCTGCGGTATATATTTCTCAGTTTATTGTAAATCATCTATGTTTACGGGGAATTTTTACACCAAAGCTTACATAAGCAGTTAATTCTCCTACTTCAGGAATAACGAAACATTCAAGAGAGTCAGACATATTACTTACCTTAAAGAGCCTAATAAACTTCGATAACTTATCCACCATATTATTTTCTCCTTATAAGCAAAATTTATCCATTCAGTCAATAGTGTGTATAAACTTATGATGTGATACTTCACATTGCATGATGTATTCACATATAACCTGAAATTGCGCTCAGTTACATTATCTGTTTTCACATAAAGTAGCGGTATGCGCTTTTGAATATGATTTAATATATTGTAAGGATATCTGATAAGTGGTGTAATTCTACCCAAATATGTACAAATATTGTCCTCTCCAATACAATATTTTTCAATGTACTTCTTAATACTCTGTTTTGAAGTTGGTATGTCATCATCATCAATGTCATCGTCATATTTATTATGCTGACTATTATACCGCCTTAACTCTTTGACTAAAATAGTTTTACATTCATTTTCATCTGTAGTATGGGATTCTAAACCTGGCAGGGTAATGAAGTTAACCGATATTCCAGTGTTCATTCCACTCTGATGATAAATGAATAGATGTGACATGTGTGTTGAACAGGTCAAATAATTCTCATCATATATTCGCATTAAATTGGCATTATTGACAGTAAATACAGTGGTAGGAATAAGTGTCATACTATCATTGGTTGTAACATTCCGTAACTTATATTGAAACAGTACAATTAAAAGACTGAAAGTTATTGAAAACACAAGTATACTACTTAAATATTTTCTAATATATCGAAAATTTATTCCACGACAGTGTCTTTTAAAAAGAAATATGTTATGCATAATGTATCACTTGGGCGTATAATGGTGCTGAACTAATTTCCATTAGATTAATGAAGACTATATTTGTATTGATTAGTGATGATTTAAACTAATTTGATCAATACGACTATGTTCATAGTGTGATGATACTTTGATTGTAAACTTGTTATTATCTAGTGTCATGCGTCTAGTCCTATCTTTGGTGCAGACTGAATTCCATCAGTCAAGTGTGCAGTGTGACCACCATGTTAGGTGGCCTTGCATCACGCTACACTGAGAATTAATGATATTAAATGGTTAGAGCCAGTCAGAAGGAAGCCTTAGAACGAGGTTTCAAGCTGGTTGGCACTTACCAGTCAGCAAGGTGCATCTGCAACCCTGAAGGAACTCATGCCCCTTCTGAGATTCGAACGCGTGTCACCTAGTGCTGCAGACAGGGACGTTGCCAGTGGGCTTTTCAGGCCCGCGACTGACCTTGTGTGGAATTGCAATGGATACTTTGATTGGACTAGCATTATGTATTTAGCTCAATGGCGACGTCTCTGACTACAGCACTGGGTGGCACAGAAGAGACATAAGTTCCTTTAAAGTCGCAGATAAGCTTTGCTGACAAGTGCCAACAAGAACAAGATCTAGGTCCAAGTCTTCCTTCCGACTGCCTCCAGCAATCTAGTATCAAAGTTTGATGATAGATGATGAAGGTGGGAGTTTCTTATACTGTTGTCTGAGCTTGGATTTTTATTGGCACAGCTTTCTATGTCGACATTATTCTTTTCATCTTAAATGGTGTCACTATTTGTTATCTCTATTATTCCTGTTTTGTGGCTTTGTTGCGCTCCCTGAACTGGATGACTCGATTTCGAAGCTTTCAATATCCTTCTGGACAGAATTCTTAGTGTTAATTTCTTATCTCAGTTTCTTATCTTTAGCCACTGACATATATATTACGGTAGGAATAATAATAGTCGTCAAGAGCTGAATGTAATAATATTACGTAAGAGTAGAATCAGCCATAATTGATGCGCGAATTTCATTCTGACCTCGTTTTTAAGAGCTGTTTGGACAGCGGGTTGATAGCGCGTTAGGGTTAGGGTTGTGGTTAGGATTTGGCTTAGGGCTATAATGAAAATTTGGGTTAATGTGTGTTATCTGTATTTTTCTAATAAATAAATGGGAGGAGAGTGTTTCTTTGTTCATATGGATGATACCGTTTTGATAGCTGTGAAACTTGAAAAACAATAACATTCATCATAACTGGGAAGTATTTTTCAGTTATGTCACAGTAAAACATCGTCCCTAATGTATCTCATTACTATTATGCAATATTATGTAAATAAACGGCTTTTGACTTATATTACATGTCAGGTCCTGGAATCCAACGAATGGTATAGGTTCAAAGTCACTGGTGCGTTCGCTATTCTCTATATATGTCCTTAAAAGGTCACTCTGCGCTCATACATTCTTAAACTGGATTCATATTATTTATTTCTTGGCTTATAGAGACGAAACTATCTAATAGAGGTTTTCATCCGGTTTGTCAGAGCTTTCAACTTAATCCTACTTAATACTTACATTAACCAACCAATAACAATAACCAATCATGCATGTGGAATTTCTTAGCACATTCACTTTATTCAACAAAATACCAAAGTGTCCTTTAGACTAGACTGGATAATGTGACAGACAGCGGGCAGCGAGAAGGTAGGCATAAAATGGACCCTAACGAAAAACTTGGAGGATCTGGACTTCGCCGATGATATATGTCTGATTTCCCACAAACTGGAAGACATGCAAGTGAAAAGCAACAAGTTCGCAGAAGCATCCAGAGAAGATAGGCCTTCAGATGAACATAGAGAAGACAGAGATGATGAAGATTCCTGGCCAACAGCGACAGTAACAACAACAAGAGACAGCATTCAGCATAAATCGGAGAAACCTGGAAGAAGCAACCTCCTTCACCTACATGGGAAGCATCCTTTCAACTACAGGCGGAACTGACGAGGATATCAAAGCAGGGATAGGGAAAGCAAGGCAGGCTTTCAATACTCTCAAGTCTGCGTGTAGATCAACAGCAGTCAGCATGAAAAATAAGATCCAAATTTTCAACTCCGGTGTAGAGTCAGTGCTATTATATGGATCAGAGACTTGGTGCGTCATGAAGAGCACCTCAAACAAACACCCTTATCGACAGCTGTCTTCACTCAATACTGAAGATCAAATGGCCGGTCAGAAAAGATCAGCAACAGGCAAAGAATGAACCGGCCAAGCAGGAGACAATTGTGCAACAAATATGCAGGATGAAATAGAGGTGAATTGACCATACTCTGAGAAAACCATCAAGTGGTCATCGCTCGAGTGGAACCCGAATGAGAAGCGGCGAGTTGGTCGTCATTGTGAGAGTGACATGGAGGATATGATGCGAAGAGGAGATGAAAGTATGTGGGCAGGCGTGAAGCCGGGTGAAAATGCTGTCGAGGAACCGGATGCAATGGATACGTGCAGCTGAAGCCTTATGTTCCTCTAGGAACTAAAGGAAACAATAACAATAATTATACACATTCCTGAAGATAGTCATTCGGAAATGGCCAAAATTCAGCGCTTACAATGTACGAAGTAACTTAATCTATACATACGAAAGTCTCTGTTTAATGAACTGATTACTGGATATCTACCATTATTAATCGTTTTAATTATCAATGAGGCACATCTGTCTACACTCGTAACTGGATTCATGCTCTTCAAAGGATTGGAACCTGTAATTAAGTACGGATGTCAGAAATTTTTCCACTAAAGTACTCGGAACACGGATATATTTGGTTGCAGAATTCTTTACTTAGCAAAAGTACAAGCCGTAATAATTAACGTCAAAACATAAAGAAGACAGTATTCAGTGGCTTGTACAATCGTGAATTCGTTTGATTCTTAAAATAATGGTAATGATAATAGTAATTGAGATAAAAAATTTGTGATCACAACCATAGTTAAATACTGAGCGATAATACAGGTTATGTAACATACAAAAAAATCTAAGAAAAAAGTGATTCTATTTGATAAACAAAACACATCGATTCAATATTATTTACTGATACCGTTTCAAACAAAATTTACCGAGCGTAAACACATCAAGACACTCACAAACTTTGTTTATATGATTTCATGATTTTATTGGTAGTAATATTTTTTATACCTTTACTCTTACCGTTGTGTCGTTTGCATTGCCCATGTTAAGTGTGAATTCAATGAAGATAGGTTCAGTGATCAAACTCTGCTTCCAATTGCCTACAATTCTTTCAAGAACTGTAGTTCTGTCATACTCTATTGTGTGATTTGGGGTTAGTGTATAAAATCTTCATTTCTCAAAGCTGTTCATCTTCCTGTATAAGTCTTAGAAAGGAGGGCAAAATTAATAAGATTAGTTGGCAGATATAACACCACATAACAAGGCAAAAGGTTTTAATAAGTTTCAATTTAACACTGTAGTAATAAACTCCTTGAAAATAGATTCTTCGCTGAATAACGTTCTCTTCAACCGAAATGTAATAATGATAAAATATAAAAAACATTACTTTGCAATTTTGATTTGCACAGAGTATTCATTCATAATGTAGCTCTTTTGTCTGTACTGTTTCTCAGTAATCTTCATTCCTCTTCTTTGTAATATGGTCTGTTGCCTTCCTATCCAAAATTCTTGCAGAAGGTAGCATTAACAGACTACTTGAAAATTCCTGTCAGCAGCATACTCCACGAGATCACTTCTTTCGTTTTTTTTTCAGACAAAAAGAGGTAACTCATTCTGTATTATGATATATTAGTATATATGATATGACTGAATAAATGAAAAGATTTCTATAACTTGGAAAAATTGATTTGACCGAGTGAACTAAGGCAGTACGTACAGAAATACTAAACACAACGCGACACCTCAGGTAATGTCTATTTCGCTTAGCTACAAAAATATCAGAAGTTAGAGACTGATCTGTGACGACATTTTTAGACGAAAATACATCATTTAGATACATATACCTTTTCATGCACGTAAAATCAAGCTAGATGAGTTATGACTGGTTGTGTATCTTCGAAAACTTTTGAGTGTTAGGTAGCAGGAATATGGGTGAAACTGGACCTGATCAAAAATTTACAACAGTTAGAGAATCACTAAGTACTAGAGCGTCCTGCACAGCTGTCTTACATCCTAGGTGACTCACTACAGACTGCAGACTTTCATCAGCCTACACTAGAAGATGAGATGGCTGACGGTAATGCATGAGGAAACAAGAAGGGACTCTAGATGGCAGTGAACTAGCCAACAAACCGCTACCGAAAATATATGCTAAACGGGACGGGGATGGATTGCAAATATGCTGAGGAGATCGTTGAGTGACATGAGATATCATGCCCTCTAGTGGGACTGTCATATTGGAGTGTTACTATGGGTGTGGAGTCGTCTAACTTGACGAGAATTTATCTCAAGATACGACAACATAACGAACTGATCGCCTGAAAATATCCTACACTCTGAAATAGACATAAAGGTCAGATTTAACTGTGATGACAGCAACAAAGTTCTATTATGCAAAATATATGGTTTATATAGTTAAGAGAAAGTCAGGAATTCAAGTGATAAACAAATAGAAAAGTCTGGTGAGTTCCATAACATCGCAGATCTTCAGAAATTCAAGCCAAAAACAAACCACTAAAAAACTGTCCAATCAGTGTATGCATAAATCATGACCTCACGCCTAACAACGATAGGTTGTCCGTCCCAACGAAAGACCCAACTGAAAAGCTGCGATTTGGGTGCCAGAGTATGAAATAGAAGGAAAACTGTTGGCAATCGTGGAGACAGTTTAAAAGGTGGCAAAGTACAGGATGAAGCCCTACGTGTTAGTCCCAAAGACTGCTAATAATAACATGGGATGGAGTTCCTAGTGTCTTAACAAGAAGTCGCAATCAGTAGGGCTCAAGAAGTCAGGTACGAGGACAAATACTCGCTGGTGACATTGTCATGCAGTGAATATATATATATATTATGAATTCGCAGAAGTCGGGAATCATATGCTACTGGCCCCTATCCTAATGTCTGAGTGGTCACCGCGATAGCTTTTTTAGTTGAAGGTTTCGGTTTAAAGATCCTGAGGGATCGTAGGTGAGTAATACTGAAGGGTTGTCAACCAGAAAAGGAAAACTGCCTAGTACTGACTGGTCCTGCGAATCTGTATAGTTTCTCTCTAGCAAGCTAAAAAGAGAATATCGTTCTAACGCACCGAAAATTTTTGTTCGTAGCAGAGACTTAATAATGAACTGGCTATTACTGAAAATTATTTAACGAAAAATGGATATCCTCCATTGCGTTCGGTTCTCTGCTAGAGTCTTCACCTGGCTCCATGTCTGCCCACACGTTTTCATCTCCTCTTCACATCACCTCATCCAAGTCACCTTTGGACCACCAACTCGCCGCCACTCGAGGGCTTGTCTAGTGATGTCACTCGATGGTTTCCTCAGAGTATGGCCAATCCATCTCCATTTCTTCCAGCCTATTTGTTTCACAATCGGTTCCTGCTGTGTTGGTTTGCTCCCGGAGATCTCTGTTTCTGATCTTTTCTGGCCATCTGATCTTGAGTATTGAGCAAAGACAACTGTTGATGAAAGTGTGTAGTTTGTTTGAGATGCTCTTTATGACGCGCAGTGCAAGTCTCTGATCCGTATAGTAAGTAGCACTGACTTCACATTGGAGTTGAAAATACGGATCTTATTCTTCATACTCAGCAGTGCTGTTGGCCTCCACACAGACTTGAGAGTGTTGAAAGCTTGTCTTGCTTTCCGGATCCTTGCTTTGATATCCTCGTCAGTTCCGCCTGTAGTTGAAACGATGCTTCCAAGGTAGGTGAAAGAGGTTGTTTCTTTCAGGTTCCTTCTTTTCATGCTGATTGTTTTCTGTTGTTGTTGCTGCTGGTGGTGTTGGCCAGGAATCTTCATCACCTCTGTTTTCTCTATGTTCATCTGAAGTCAAATCTTTTATGCTTCTTCTGCTTACTCGTTGCTTTTCGCTTGCAACGGATGTTTGAATATAATTTACAGGAACCTATTAGCCTAGGATTTTTACCAGCATTCTTCTGACAGATGTTTCTGAACCCTATAAAGAACTGATATTTCCTTCGAGAAAATTTAATTCCCAGCTATGGCTGATCTACTTGCTTAATGACCACAGTGAAATCTTTGTTGATAGAACTCACTCAGCGCTAAGGTGTAGACAATGTATATATATACACCGAAAAAACTAGTTAATACATGCAGTAACAGGTATCCCCGTTTTCTCACAGAGAAAAATATTCATGTAGTCATAGTTACGCTATATGTAGATAAATGCATGTATTTATACAGAATCCATAATGTACATTATGGTACATATATACGATAGGAGAAAACCCTTCACCTCAGTATCCATTATTCGTCTAAATAACTACTAGGAGCTTTTTTAGCCATGATGGTTTAGCTTTACAATACATAAAATCTAGACCACAGCAGATTTCATCAACACGTCACAGCATTTCAGTTGACTCATCATACAGAGACTTTTAGAACGTAAAGAAAAATCTACCAAAGGCAGTATGTTTTCGACTTTTCTGTACTGCCATGTGCATCGATTAATTCGGAGCCATGTGTTCCACCTGTACAATTACCATGGATTTAGTTCTGTTTCATCCCTCACTTTTAGATTTTTGTGTTCTGTTTATTCATTCTCTTCACCTTTTCCCTTTTTCACTTATAAAAAGCATTATTTCAATTTGTTTCCACGCCCAACCAATTCATACCTGTATTCATTAGAAAAAACTATTTTATAATCCTGTGTAATTTTGTTTCTAAACCCCTTGTAATCTATATCCACACCGTAGAACTTCCATATCAAGTTGGAAATTAGTATCACCAATCTCCTCTTTCGTTATTATGTGGAATTAAATAATAATTGTATGTATATACATGCGATTCTACAGCTACTTTTGAGGATGAAGTCAATGAAAGGATATCTCTGCTGAGTTATTTGTCCTTTTCTCTCTACTGTCCTGATGGGTATTTTCCCCGGTGACTATACGCAGGTAGTTTCCTTACTTTGCATTTGTGCTGATCAAAACCAGAAACTCAGTGTCTAAAACTGATAATCGGAGTGAATAAAATGACTTATGAAGCAATCTATTGTGTAAGTCAAACGATGAATTTAGAGGTTATTTTTTTTACAATATCGTTAATGGTATGCACGCACAAAAGTCACCGCACTGAAAAGCAGCGTATGGCAACAATTCTAGTGAATTAATCATACTGATTAGTACTCTTGATATGCGTAATAATGAGATTTGTGTATGTACTATCAAAAGTTCATGTTTTGTGAACGTTTATAATCCTTTCATTGATAGGAAAGTCCGAGATTTAGCCTGGTATTCGTACTCTGAATGCATCAAACCTTTAGTAATCTTATACAGAAAATTTGTTTGAAATTGTTGATAAAAAGTCTTACTGTAAAATTAAAACTGGAAGAAATGTCCTGTGCGTATTAACTTTATATGGCTTCTCCCTTAAGCATCATAAACAATATTTACAACCTGTAGATACTGAGTTCTTCTCACAATATATAAATTGAAAAAGGAATGACTTTTTATCAGAAGTCACACTTGACTGAGTCATACTGATCTTTAACAAACTTAGTAAGCATTCAAAGAATAGTTTTTGTGTTAAAATAAATGAAGTAATGAAAATTTAGATTATACCCCTTAATACGAAAGTAAAACTATTTGCGTGTCTTTCGTCCTTACGGAACAATATCTTGTGCATAAGTGTTGAACATTACAGATCCTAGATATCAGTTATGACTTCAGAACTACTTGTCTCCTCTCTATACTATCAGTCTTATAGGTGGAAAGCAGCAATTTTCTCAGCCGCACTAATTATTAAGAAGTAATTTAGCAAGTGAATTAGAAGCCCATTCATCCTCAGATTTTGGTTTGCCACTGTGCAACTTCAGTCATTTCGAAAACAAGTACTGAAGAGTAAGAGACTGGTAAAAATAGAATTATTGTTTATTGGATAGTAAGAAAATCTATAACCATCCATCGATTTCAAAATTCGCGAATAACATTTATTGTCTGTTGCTTATTAGGTCCTTCTCGGAGTTGTAACCTTCTTCTGGTGTTTCTTTTTCATTGGCTATCCCAGTGACATAAATTATCATCTCTTCTCTGGCATCGTTACTCAATACACTGCTTATACCTGACTGTTAGTAACACACAATTCACCACAACTATTACTGAGCATTTTTAGTTGATAATTTTACAATAGATTTCATTGATACATGTCTACTGATAATATGACTAACTTTAAACTTTGGACGCAATGCTTATGTAAAAACATGCTTGCAGTACAATCCTGATTTCATTTACAGAGTAGCATATTTACATAAAATTATCAGAAGACCTAAAATAGAAACATATAGGAGGTATATAGTAGTTTGATCAATTTTCGCGTTATCGATAATCTGCCTACGATGACGACGATTTTATAGGCTCCTGAACTATATCGTTCAATGAAAAGTTCTTTTAAACACTTTTTATTATATTATTTCGTTTTTTTCCATTTTTTTGAAAAACAAAACTGCTGCCATTTTACTCATCTAAAATGCTCTTTCCAATTGTTCTTTATAGGCAAAATGACCAGTGATCACTGGATTCTTACACTGAACTGCCACTGGGAGGGGAGGGGCAATCACTTCTATGCATCTAGTCCTTAATGTTGGCACTGAATGAATTCTGTCAACCAAACTTGCCGTATCATCACTAAGGTGACCTGTCAACACAATCCACTTTAAACCTAAGTTTCATGCTTACTGGTGTTCGTCAGTAGGAAGCGTCTGCAGCCTCCAAGGAATAGATGTCGACTGGCAGATTCAAACCTGCACCATCCAGTACTACTGTTACAAATGTTAAGAATTAACTGTCTGGATATAAATATGTGGATTTTTTTATTCCTTCACGTTCCCAGTGGAACATAGGGCTTCAAGCTAGTGCCTTGAAGTTTCTATAGCAGTGTTTATTTTTACAGGATGGGGTTGCTAGCCTCATGTCCAACCTTCCCTCTTCACCAGCTTTATTTCTGGCTTAGTGAGGTAAAGGAGTGCGCCGGCCGGGGATCGAATCCCGGACCATGTGCATGGTCGGCTATGCCACCGACGCACTAAATAAGCGGATAGTTCAGACAAATCTGTTGAACTTAAGGTCGTGATTTCGTTCATATGAATGATTTAATTCTATTCAAATGCATCTGGGAGATTAAAATGAATTACGGATCAAGCATTTTAAGGTCTTGTGATTCCCAATAATTCATTTTAACGAAAGTTAAAAGATCTAAAGCGAAGTATGTCTAACCTACTTGTATATAAGAAATGTAACAGAAGAGATTGACGAACGCAAAGTAATCACATTGAAAGTCTATGGTTAAATCAAATTTAAATAAGGCTACATTCACTTTATGTTTGCTTTATGAATGAAATTTCTATCCGATAATTTTGGAGCTAAACAATTCTTGTCCGATCAATAGCCTGCTCAATTCAGCCAACTCTAAAGCTACTTGCACATCTCTCATTGGCTAACATTGATTTGGTCACGGTCATTCACTCTGATCAACATTTGTCACGTGATTAACATAATATATTGATCACGCGATATTAGCTGGATAAACAAATGGGTGGATGAGGAAAGGAATCCCTTAATTTGTTGCCTTATACTGTAGCCTACCAAAGAAGATTTTCTGAAGTAATGTGGAATAATTACTATCAGTCTCTAACATTCACTCTAAACTGTTAAAAAAAATATTTTCGGCGATAATTTCTGAATGAATTTTTAAAAAGAAGTATATGTCGTCTCGCAACCGCCTATTGTTGCATTTTGTACTCAGAAATCCACGTCTGTTCTTTAAAGATAATGTAATTATCAACTGACTGGGTATAAGGATAATGTTCTACATATACTTCCTTCCAAATAACCAGTTTAGTTAGCTTAGTAACAGAAATAGAACGCACACTTCTTGATTTGTTTGCTCAATAACCTGGAAGGTGCATCATATCTCAGGATTTTCATTTAAATTTATCCAGAGTAACTGTTATTTAAATCTATATTGCTATTAGTATCGAACTAGCATAACTTCTTTATTTGACTGTCACCCTAGTTGTTATAGAGCTGTATAGTTGGGACAGATTTCATAATTAATTTTTCGACTCCCATTAGTTTTGTTGGTACCTTCATTGAGACAATAAAATAGTGATTTTGACGATTCAATTAAATATTTACAATTTAAGTACTTTCTGGAAAAAGTGAATTTACAGTCTCCAGCATGATAGCATCACGATGCGAATTCTGTTTCCCGATCTGGGGAATACTTTGCTGAAACTGAATGAGCACCTATGATAGATAATTAATAACTAGTGGCACCGACCTTCTACTGGAAGCTTATTTGTACCATCCGAACAACTTTGTGTGATTTCTGAGTTCTGCACACTCTTTAGTTGACTAATCATGTAGACGTCAGCAAAAAAAGACATAGAGTGTAGGAGGTTTGCAGGCTACATTTTTAAGTACTAGTCTCCGAAAACACTTAGTATGACAAGTATATATATATATGTACATATGTATATATCTTACTTATCAGCAGCACTATGAAATACAATAAAATAATGGATCTCACGACCCGTTTTCGAAATATTGTTATCTATGAAATGCCAGCATAAATATAGAATGGGATGACTTAAACAACTGATGGATTACTTGAACGACTTTCATACGATTCATACACACGAGTCCTGGACACGCTAAGTAAAGATACTACTAGATTACTGAGACAGTGAAATTATCTAGGACAATTTTTTGTTTTTAAGTAACTAAACTTGACACCAAATGGCAATAGCTGAAAATGAAAATAAACGAGTTCTGACCTGAAAACTGCCAGTTTGGATTCGGTAGCACTGTTCCCCAAAATGGAAGGAGGAATTTGACCACAGGCAAAAACGGGTGTACGCAAGAGTCAATGGTATTATTTCAAGGATAATTATCGATACTATGGCTATTATTAACACTGTTATTATTAATATTATTGCGAATTATTCACCTTAGGTAAGACCGTTAAAAGGAATTTACGTGAAGTTGAAGAATATGGTTCTGGAAAGAGTGTGGCCAAAGCTGATACAAGACCTGTCTAACGTTGAAAAAAATGTGGCGAGTAAAATAAGACAGGAAGACACTGAGTTAACAAATAGTATGGAGCGTAAAACTTATACCAAAGGGACTTAGGGTATCAAATACATAACTTTGAGAAGTTGTATTATTTAATCACATAGATCAGTTGGCTTGAGCTATCAATTTGGACTGGTATTTGTGTTTAGATGACGTTTATTCAATGCATTATATATTTACACACATAATACCATATTGTAAAACTTACGAAGCCGGTAAACCTTTACTATCAACTGTGAGCTGATTATAAAGGAGGTTTAAAATGGTAACAGAAAGCTGTACATAAACGTAGACAAATAAATACACATTCCTATAAAGCGAAAATAACCTCAATACCACTGAAGCCTTCAACAATCAAAAATCCAACAACCATGTCTTACTTTATGGAGAACTACTTTTTCATGACCATTGAAAAGAAGTTAAAGTGAGAAAGTGACTTTGTTTTATTTTTATTATTCAAATTGGTGTATTTTTTGTTCATTTCTGCACATGTATATATATATATATATGAAGGGACGTGGAGTTTTTTCAGTTTTCTTTTACTTTCTATATAGCTGAAAACATTTTATATGGATAAAAGTGGATCTTCATTGTTTATCGTGTTTAAATCCACTTGCCTTAGTAAATGTCGTGGCATTCCATAGATATGCGGTTCATCTTCACTATTCACATAGTTCTCATCATCTTCTGGCTTGTTTATCACTAGCCACGGTTGTATATCACTTTCTGAAAGTTGATAATCAAGGTTGCTTGGTCGTGTATGACGACTATGATAATATCTGTTTCTATGGTTTACATAGGAATTTCTATCTGCATCATTGTGATCGTCGTCTTCAATATCAAACTGATGACGAGGATAATATGGTTCGTTCAGTAGTCCTTCTTCCTCTTTTTGCTTATGTATTAATTGTTTCAATATATATAAACGTATCTTCTCCAGTGTTAGCTGTTCCGCTTCGCTTAAACGTCTTGTATTCTGTTCAGAATTCTTCAGTAAGTCCACAGTGTCAATGTCATCATTATCAAAATGAGTGAATTCTTTAGGTAAACTGGGCAAATTTTTTCGCCTCTTGTATCGACTGCTGGTAGTAGTATCTTCCAAATTAACCATTTCTTCATCATTTCCATAGTTATGGCTCTGGGCTATTTTGTCGTAAATGTCTTCGTTGACAGCTCGGTAATCATTATCGATGGGACCGATTTTTCGTTCGTCTAATAAGTAATCATGATCTATGATTGGTACCATAATGTTGTTTTCCCTGATTTTATCGGATTCATCATCTAAAATGTTAGCACGCTTGTCATTGTTCCATAGTGATTTCAGTGACTGTAATACTTCACGTGCAACTTTAGCCCGATTTTTAGCCTCTAAAGCTGCTTTTTGTAGTGATTCAGCTTGATGAACAGATTCACTTGCCTCTTGCTCCAGTTGTATAGCTCTACTGATCTCAGAAGTAACTTGTGCGCTCAGTGCTGATTGCAACTGAAGGAGTTCCTCTTCATTCGGTATTGATAAAGCTGATAGGGTATCCGTTGTCGTTGACACTTTTGACGATGATATTGGCTTGTAAAGCGGTGCTAATGATAATAGTACATTTTCACTGTTCAAAGCATTATCATAGCCATCCTTATCAATGTCTTCTCTTATGCTTGGAAAAGAACTCTCATAATTTTTGCCACTCGAAGGTAGGGAAAGTGTATGCGTTGTACAGATTGCAATAGTTATTAAAAAATATGCGAAGTATAAATTCCAGGACATAGTTTACAGTCTGACAGTATGTGATCAGCGTACTGCAGTCAAATTATCATTATAGCGTTAAATAATTATGCAATGTTCATTATTATGTAGTGTGTACGTGAGTTTTTTTTATTTAATAAGTATTTCACACCAAATGTTTCAAATAACTGATTTCACTGCTACGACCACACTCATGTTTTTAAATGGCAGTATTTCTGAATACTTACGTATATATATATATATAAGTCATAAATATTTGGGGTGAAAGGTATACACATATCTAAATTGTCACTAAGGTAGACAATAGGATAGACATACAGACATTAAGTAGGCATTTTCATACGTATTCACGACTGCATAAAATTTTTCTATAGGAAATCTAAACATGCAAACAAACAATCGCTAAACTTAAGAAGTAGTTTGTAGACATGCTAGATGAGGCAGTGGGATGAGACATGTCATTTGGGAAATGAGAATAAGTATATTTATGATGTAGCGAATAAAATGCTAATGAGAACTGGATCAATAATCTCAGGATATAACGTGCATCAACCAATCATAAAAGGGTTACTTCCCTCTTTCTGATCCAGGGTGATTTGATGACGGCAAAATTATTTCTTTATCAGGCTAACGGGGAAACCTTTGAATGATGGTAGTAATTTCCTGAAGTTAGCTGTTAGAGATAGTTAAAATGAGTATAGGAGAAACACACGCACACTAACATTTTTTCACAGACAAACATCATTACATAAGAAGGGGAGAATTAAATTACTGGATAATTATTCTGAAAATGATTCTGCACTGTTTTCTGCATATAATTAGCTACTTTAATGGAAGAAAGGAAAGGCTCCGACATAATTCTCATCTAGCTGAGAATTTGATAAAAGAAGCACAGTTAGTAGTACAATCAAATAGTTTTGGTTTTCAGAGGTTCATAAGTTGATTCCAGTTCATGATGATAAAGAGCTGTATTATTCTGTCTAGTGTTCTGGATTAAAACTCAGAACTGCACAGTTATCCCTCAGTTCTCTTCCTTCTTGTTCTTCTGAATTCCTTTCAAGGAGGCGGGAATCGAACCCCGGACCATGTGAGTGGTTGGCAAGCATTCTACCACTGAACCACCTACGGGTTTATGACTACAGTGGGGCTGTCTGAGTTCGCATGACAGAGATTAGAAGACGATGGTGTTTGATACCTTAGCTTATGAGTGTAAAAGTTTGCTTCACCTTCCCTTTCGTTGAAACACAAAAGCAAATTAGGCATTCTGAGAAATTTGAATAAAAAACAAATCAAACCATCCAGTCCCTTAGGAATACATAGTGTAGTAGAACTCCAAGGATAAAAACTAAGTAACTAAAACCAGTACTGAGGTTTCAGGGGACAGGAAGTTTGAATACTACAATCTTTATGTGGCATCAATGACTTAATATTGCATGTGCCTCGGAATTAGGAATACTATAGATTAAGGATAATTCCAACTTACTCCAAGACAAATCTTAGGATCAAATACCTTCGGTACAGAGTTTTATTGTTTTGAGTTGTTGAATTTATGGAGATTTGAATAATATGGAAATAAATTGCCTCACGGAAAGACAAACGTCGTAGCAATGGTTTACACTGTTAAGGGATTTACAGAACCAACATGTGCATTCACGGCTTCAATAATTTGGATGCGATGACTGGTAGGAAAGGATGAGGAAGCAAGAAGCTACTCTGGTATTTTACAAACCAGCAATCAACCTATTTACGGCACAACCAACAAATGTGCAGAAGCAAATGGAGATTGGTTGGATATATGCTGAGGAGACTGCTAGTTGACGTCACACACTAGTCACGTCCAGTGGTGGAATCTGAATGGGAAGAAACGAGTTAGGCTTTCTACGGTGACATGCAGGAGATCATACCAGCTGGAAAGGAAAGCCGGTGTATATTCGTGGAGCCAGCCAAAAATGGCTGCATTGTGAATACATCTTGCTAAGTTCCTATTTTCCTCTAAGAATTCAAGAAATGAATAGTAATATGACTAACTAATCATATATTTCCATCATCATCTATTGATTAACAAAAATGAAATGGAGAAGTGCTCGTCTCCACTTTAGTTTGTAATAATCATGGTCAGTGAGAGGCATTCACTGTGTACTTACAAGGATAAAGTAGCTAAAAGTTGGATGAAAAGAATCACCCTTACTCTGTCCAAAGTCAAATTAAGTTCTATCACTTTGATCTATTTACTTCAAATCATCCTTTAAGTTTAGGTTTAATTAGGAATAATAGCTTTTAAAGATACCTTGTACGTTCTAAATGATAATGATGTTAGTAAGTTAAAGTAAGACGTTAATAACTTGTTGTATTTTGAATAAAGAAAAGGATAACAAGTATTGTAAACATGACTTCTTTAAAATTACTACTCTACTTTTGAATCTGTAACTGACCCTTATCATCATTTATGTTTGTAAGGACATATCACACACTGAAATACTGACTGAGGTGAAGCAATTCATACCTTTGCGCTGGTGAACACGAACTAGCAGTCAAAAGGCATCACATATGCTGTTTTACACGAATTCATGTGTAGAGCCAAGAGCATCAGTTCCACTGGAAATGATTAAATGTCTTTAACAGGAGAAACACAAAGAGTGCCACAGAATCCCTAAAAGCCTTGTACTGAGGTCAATTTGTAACTAAACAAAGGACAAGTTTATCAGTTGATAAAAACAGTTAGCAAGATCAAAAGGTTAAATTTCAGGTCACTGACATCAGCAATATCAGTACAAGCGAAAAAAGCCTTAAGGAAGTTGATATAAGAATAAAACTGGTGCAGTTTGGAAGAGGATAATTCCATTATGGGTAAAATTTATTTTGATAGGTCTCATAGTAATATTTACTGATAACTTTTCGAGAAAAATTTATTGCTTATAATTGTATCGAGGTGCTCACACAACTTTCTAACTTCGTTTATATAATTCGATTATTTTCCATTGTTTGATTTCATTGTTAGTAATATTTTCCATATTTCCGGTATGAGTGATGAGTCAATCCTATTGCACGTGTTGGTGTAGACTCAATGAACAAGGATTCAGTAATCAACCTCTCTTTCCACTTATCTAGAATTTTAACCCTCTCCCACCCTATTGTGTGCTTGTGTGTTAATACATGCAGTGCAATTGCTGAGCTTTTTTCTAAATTACTTATCTTCTCGGGGTCAACCATTCTTACCTTAGCTAAATTCTTATGTTCTGACAATCTGACTACCCCTTATCTACTAGTGTGACCTACCTAATTGACCTAACTCAAGGTCATTGTGGGGTATTTTGTAAATTATATTATTTTGTCTAATTGGGTCAACCGGGTCCTTTAGCCCACAGAGCTTGTCCCTGAGTGAGTTTGTAGGTTTGGATGCTACCCTAACTCCTACTTTATCAAGAATCCTATTTAGGGTCTTAGACGTCCACTCATTATATGGTAAAACTGTAGATGCCTTATATTCTCTCTTATTTATCCTTATTAGGTTCCCCATTATTTTTCTTTTGCTTATGACTTTTTCTGATATTCCTAATGAATTTGAAAGGATAGTTATTTAACACCAACGCCTCTTCTATCTGTTTTATTTCATCATTAAGGTCTTTTCTTGTACTACTTAGTGCTACTGCTCGATTTGTTAGACACTTAACTAAGCTTGCTTTAACAGTTAACGGATGAAATGAATTAAAGTCTAAAGATCTACTAGAATGCGTTGGCTTTTTATAAACGCTAGTGTGCAGTTTACCTTCTTCTGTTCGTTTTATTTTACAATCTAACATAGCTAATTCTCCTTGTTCATTTTCCGATTCAAATGTGAATTTTATTCCCTCTACTAGTGAGTCCATATGTGTGAAGAAACTGGAGGCAGTTTCTGTTTCTAACACTGTGAAAGTGTCATCCACATATCTCCACCATATTTCTGGAGTAGGATTAAATGTATTAAGAGCAATATTTTCCCAGCTGTCCATAAATATATCTACTACGGTAGGGGATAGTGGTGATCCATCTCATTGCTACACCTTCTGTTTGTCAAAATATTTTGCCTTGGAATTTAAAGATAGTAGATGTGAGGCATAACTGAATTCTTAAAATAATTTTCTCAGTGGTCAGCTTCGTCCTATGAGTGAGAAATTAGATTAGATTATATATCCCGTTTAACTTGCATTTAATGCACAGAAGCGTATACTACAAGGGAAGCTAATAATTTAGAATCCCGTTGTTCTTTATTTAGTGCTGGCTTGAAGGTCTTGTATTTCTATTTCAAGGAAAATTCCCCGTAGTACATGTGATTCAGCTGAATCACTTGTTTTCATTTAAAAAAATTTGTTTATTGCTGTATGACGGTTAGTAAACATCGTGAGGAATCCATATTGCTAAGAAATGATTTTGAATAAAATTGTTTTTACTACAATTATTACGCTCAGCTGTGGTACTCTTTACCCTACTACTATTTTTTGGATGTAAGCACTAATCAGTAGAAATGTGACTTCATACAAGTGAAACGATCATCTGACTAGCAAACACAACTAGTTTTTAACTGCTCATATCGATCAGTGGTATACATACTACCTTAACATAGTCAGAATTTTTTATTGTAGTCATTGATAAAAGAATGAGCGTGAGTGACTTGATATGAATATGAGCAATGGTTTGCACTCGAAACGTCATCAGTTAAATTAGAAATAAGCTTTGCTGGTGAAAGGATCCTGTCTGTGGAGCCTTTAAAACAAAACAATTTAGTTTATCTCATACCCTGTGTGTAATGACTGTCAGGCCAAATACATAGGTCAAAGTAGTAGAACAGGGGCAGTCAGACTAGCCGAACACAAAAACCTACCAAAATCTAGATTGGTTGACCAGAATAAGATAAGAAATCTAGAGAATAGTTCATCTATAGCACTACATGCAGTTAAACACAACCAAACAATGGGATGGGATAGGATGATAGTTTTAAAATCTAATGTCACAGGAAGGAGGGAGAGATTGATAACAGAAGCTTTGTTTATCTTATCGAATGAACTGCAAATACATGTAACAGGAATGATTCAGCACCTTTCCCAGATATCTCGAAAATCGTTCTACTCCATCGACGACAAACAGGAAAGAACAAAGAAAACTATAAAACTCAAGTTTCGAAGTCGTGTGATTATATGTGATATGACTACGAGCAATAAATTTTGTTCGAAACGTCATCCAGTAAAGAATACTGTTTCACGGTATAATACATCTAATAAACAAACTAATATGGAAGCGTTATCAGTTAATATTACTGTACAACACTTTGTGATTTGCCAAAATAAAATCTTATCTATAATGGAGTTATCCTCTACCACAGCGCCCAAGTTTTGTACTTATATCAATAAAATAATACCAGTCTAAACACAAATAAAATGCAAAACAATGGTAAAATTATGACAGTGTAAACACTGAATCTGTGTTAAAGTTAGAAA